CTAATGGTTCGTCTACAAGCCGGTAAGCGCTGCTTCGTAAATGATGAGGAAGTGACGATTTTTTGAATTTTTGCTTTCCTCTGTTCAATCGGTTTTGAAAAAGTCCGGTTGTTGATTTGCTTTGATTTAACAAAAATTATTTGTTCTGTTGTTTGTGTAAATGAATGAGTTATAATTGGTTGTTGTGTTTGTTAAATGTCATCTTATGCATTATGACTGAAGTTTTGAATAAAAATAGATAATTTGTGCTTTGTAATTTCTGGATAAGAAAGATTTTGAACAGGCCCTATAGCAAGAGCGCGCCAACAGCGGCAAAGACCGGGCGAGCATTCACATTGACCGCGTCAATAATCACAAAGACCGGCCGAGCGTACAACATTTGCATTGCTGGCGGTTGAGCGCTCGCAATGACCGAGCGAACGGTTGCCGACACCGGTCGGACGCTCGCGTTTACCGGACATTCGGAAAAGAGAAATCCGCTCGCCCGGTAATTGTGGCCATTCGTCCGGTACTTTTGCCTGAGACAGTCAATGACCTCTCGGAAAATCACCAAAATCTGCGATCCATGCTTTTTGAGACAGTCCAGTTTTAGAAATTTTCTAAATTTCTAAAACTTTCTCTGGACTTCTATCAGCCCTGCGAAGGACTCCAAAAGTAAATGTTTATAGAGCTTTTACTTGACACCAGACAATCTTTCTCTCCTTACCATAACTCGTCATAGTTTTTTTAATAGAATTTTAACTGATGCTACCAATTTCCGTATTTGGTTAACTCAAGGCTAGTAGAGCCGCGAGTAACCTAGGTGCTATACTATGCAGCTTTTTCTCTTCTTTCAAATGGTTTTTTGTTTCCGGTGAAGTGTGAGAGTAAAATCATCATAGCTCGCTTAAAGGCAGTGTCCCGGCAGATTCGGGTCCTGGGGGATATACGTGTGGTGGGGTTCCTGGTCACCCCATCGACCTCCAGGCGCACGCCGGCCGGGTGATGTTCCCCCTGGGCCGAGAAAATGGCTCCTGAACCGGCGCGCGCAACCCCAAATGCGCGCGCCTGGACGGCCTTCCCCGCCCGTTCGGCGCGGGACCCCACGAGCGCTCTCCCCCATGAGATGCATGCTATCCAAAGCAAGAATTACAGGCGGCAGGATCTTCGTCTGAGGACCTCCCCCAACCTTTCATTAAAAATCTCGTCCAAGCTGCTTTTCTGGAATTAGGAAAACGCCCCAAAATCGGCCCTTTCAGCCCGTTTAAAGCTCAAATTCGGATTCTACGTGGCGAAAAGGCCTGAAACATGCAAAAAGGTGGAGGTGCAAAATCTGCCGGGACACTGCCTTTAAGGCTGTACTCGAAAAAGTCAAAATTTGATATTTCGAATCCTAAACTCTCATTAGCTTTTTTAAATTAGTGTTAAGTCATGGTACCATCTTGGAAATTTCAAAGAATTATTGTTGTTTATTGCGATTGTGAATGACGTAGGCTTGGCAAAATCCGATGATTTGAGTAAAAATCTTTGGAAAACTTATGGCGAGCTATGGAAAAGAGGAAAAAATTGTGCTGTTTTCTCTAAGGTTTGCTATATCGACGTTGCTTGGACTGCTTCGGGAGGATCAATAGAAAAGTTTGGGAAAATTGTGTTTAACTATCTCAGAAAGCTTGGGTCGCAGACTTTGGAATTTTTGAGAGCTCATTGAATATGCTGCAACGATTTATAACCACTGAAAAGAGGACGAAATGCTGCATCGAATGCTACCAAGATTTCGTAGAAGTCTTAGCTCCACCAAATGTGGCGTTTATTTTGAAAAAGCGACGATATTTTTGGAACGACCTCATACTACCAGATGCAAAGACCAAAATATAGTCGTTGTCAATAGTTAAAACTTTAACGAGGATTCTGATAATCTGCTTTGTTGATTAGACTAGTCTCAGCAGGGTGCACGCATACTACCTCTTCAGATTACTGCTGTCATTCACTCATATGGCCTAACAGCTTTGATCAGCAATTGAAGCTTACTTAGGTGGCACTAAAAAATACTTTTACATCTTCTTACCAATGAATGGCTCGAAGACCTTTGCGACGCATGCGAAACTGAGGTATAAAATCTTTTAGTTAACACATTCACGACAATACGACCCACTGGTGGGTCGTAGTGTTCTGCTATTTCGGACAATCCTATAGTAAACAATCAAGGATAAAGCTTCAAGAATCTTACGACCCACCAGTGGGTCGTAAGATTCTTGAAGCTTTATCTTTGATTGTTTACTATAGGATTCTACGGGGTTCTGGCACATGATTGGGGACCGGGGTTAAGCGTGTTATGCGATCCGGGACCCTCATTTACGGCCCCCCCCCCACATCTACCCCACCCCACTGCTTTTGAACCTGCATGAATGAATTTAAATCTCAAAAGAAGCCTGCCAATGAATATCAGTCAGAATTATAGGTTCACAGAAAACTAACCCCTTATAAATTGGGAGCTAATGCAATATGCTCCACCGCTAAAAACGTCACAAATATTATAATTCTGCGTAGATCGGGTAAGTAGTAAAATTTTACAAAGGTTTGGCTATTCTTTTTGTGGTAGGGAAAATGTGGATGGGAAGGACATCACCTGATAAAGCAGAACCAATTATGATCTGAATGACATACGGGGCTTATCAAATGAAGTGTCGCTTGCCCCATCGTCTCCACTCCCGCGCGACTCTGCGTCTGTCCGCGGGACATGCTCGCTAATCACCTCCAATCAATTTAGGTTCCACCTTTTCGGCGCTCGCCTTGGTAAAGTACTCAGAGAGCATGTTCCGCGGAAGAGACGCAGAGTTCAGCGCGAGATTGGAGATGCTGAAGCAAGTGGCACTTCATTTGATAAGCCATGTATTCAAGCTGTACTCTACTTAAACGCTAAAAAATGAATTAAAATAACAACCAAGAATATCCAGCATTACGGAACGGCTCACTTCAGCCATTATGATCGATTATTTTATAACAACTCATTTTCCAGTGACAGATATTGAAGTCTTCTGTCATCTATGAATGTTTGCCATAGCTCATTCATGTTTCTGCGGTACCGAAAGATATCGATTATGGTTTTGGTAATTAGAACGTGACGATCTCGTGTTCTATCTCCGTACGCGACACCATTTTTTTGCAGGGAGAAATAACGATATCTTTACAACCTTAAAAATATTTTCGACTTACTTCCTACCCTTTCCACAGATTTTCCTGCGAAAAAAAACCGTTTTGGCGCCATCCAGAACGATGTGAAAAACGTGCATGAGCACGGTACTTTGAAAACTCGTAACTAAGTTCAGGCCGGAATATCCATGGAATTAATTAGCCATTGAAGAGTAATGAGCTCAAAAAAAAATCTAGATATGACTTTCGCAGAATTAGATGCGATCTTAAAGGCAAAAACTGGGTTTTTTAAGCTTCAAATTTTGTAACTCACTGGTCTACGGAAGAAAATATGAGGATGGCTTCGTATATAGCGCAATTGCAGCCAACAAGCTTAGATAGCTCCCGAGAAATTTAGAAGCGAATCAGATACGACCCTCCTTACTTCAGTTTTTGTCGCCGTACATAAATTTATAGAAAAATCCGCAGATTACGAAATAAGACTAGATGTTGCACAAATATAGCAGAGCGTCTCCAAAAGTACAGATAAATTGTATGGGTCTTGAAAAACACTGCAAAAAATTTAAAAACTGCTGACGGTCATCTTCGGCAAAGATATTTGTTTCTGTCGAGTGTGTGGGACTTCAGAGAGCCTTTGAAAGCAAGATTTCTAAGCCAGTCGGCATATCTTAAATTTTTCAAATCAAATCAAACATTCTTTAAAAGTGTTTTGAGCTCTAAAAATGTGGTTTTTTTTTGGGAATTTTTGTGAAAATTTCATCTATATCATTCTGATTTATATTTTTTTACAAATTTATTACAAAGAACATGTAAATTATGCTCTTTGATCTCTATCTAGGCTTGCGGTTTTTAGACAAACTAGCTCCTCTTACGACCCCCTTCCCACCTTAGGTGCCCACTTTGCGACCCCCTTTGCGATATCGCCACACGCTTGACGCTGTTGGGGACACCTAGGCGAAGCCTCCAGTCCAGAGTGGTTCGAGCTCGGGATACTGTAATGTATACGGCAGGTGTACCGTAGATAGATGCAAAGCACAGACTTTAGCTCATTCTTTGCAGAATGATGCTGTATCTGGAAGATCAAGTGTACATCCACAAGTAATACGGGGCAGGCAAGAGACTGGCATTAACCCACCAAAAAATTGTCGATTATATTGATTTCATTGATTTTTTGCATAGCTTATCCCAGAAGCTCAAATCTTACATATATAGGTTTTGTAGCACGCTGATTACGAAAATGTTAGCCTCAAGTTCTAATACCACTTCCTTACATTAGTTCTATAGTATTTATTTACCATACCACTAAAATATCAAATAAAAATTGGTTGTTGGGAAAATAAAAAATTTCAACGGATACAATTTTTTGTATTCGGCTAGCAGATACTTAGCCTACTCTGTGTTACCCTATTTTCAGGTGTATAAGCCGCACCCTTTTTGCTCTAAACGCGAGCAGACCCAGGCGTGCCGCCGCGCATATGTTTCACGAAGCGGTCGCCCTATCGCATACTGCTCTCACTTAACGAGCTCCATGATGACAGTCAGTCTGGCGTGTTCGCCTTTAAAGCGAAAAAAGTGCGGCTTATACACCTGAGAATAGGGTAGTTGTGTTCTAAGGTAATAAAAAATGAAGAAGCTGCAAAGAAGCTTTCGATATAAGCTTTAAGATATTGCGAGCGCGATGCAAAAAACGTGTCGGAACATTGATGTACCTGAACTTTCTGTACACCCTTGGTGCGGAGAATTCGGTGATCTAAGCCATAGTTTGTGGTCGTAACTTGTAAAATGTGGCCACAGATCAATATCTTGTGTCCTTTCAACTGTTTTTTAAACTACTTAACACTTAATCTCATGAAAAAAAATTGTTTATGTAGATGACAGTCCAGTCGCACTTCGAAATCCATTTGATACATGCATACTGCCACAATTCGATCCGTGGGACGCAAATATAGTACCGGTGGGTCCCGGCATTACTTGGCTTTTAAGGCCAATTCATTAATTAGAAAATTTTAGTACGTCGATCCAGACTACAATCCTCTGCAAAAATGCAATCGAAGCTACAGACCAATGACTACGCTCAAGAACGGTATCGTCACTGTAAACGAGAAAAACGTGTCATGTATGGGCAGGTAAGCGGTTTGAGCGGATTTCCATAATCTTGCTGAGTTACTCGTTTAGAACAGAGAGATAACTCATCATGACTTGCAAAGCTGTCAGTATGTGAGTTTGTCTGTAATAAAAAGACAGTGCAAAGTGATTGGTATTTTGATCAGGCAAAATTGATTTACTTTCCAATTCAAAAGAGCGACGTACTAAGGCTGGCAGAGCTTGCGGAGACCTTTGTTACGAAAAATTAGATTTTAGCGCCGCGATTTGGTCGCTACCACACTATCACTACCACTACCACAATCTCAATTTCGGACTGATACCAGCTGAGCAAAGTGACGCATGATCTTCACGGCGAAAAAAATCAGTTTTGCTGCTTTGTTGACTCTCATTTGAGCCCAAGCGTCCCTACTTACATCGGCTTTAGGGGACCAGTCCAGACATTACTCTGTTTTTAGGTGTACAAGCCGCGGGGTAGTGCTGGCTTGCATCGACCACCCCGACGCTGAAGGAGCTCGCAACCAACGGGCCCTATATCGTGCTGCGTATTCCCTGAGAGAATCGTGCGGCATAAGGATTGTTTTCAAAACAAGTGAAGCGGCTGAGAAACTTGATGTAAGCTAGGATCACTCCGCGGCTTATACACCTAAAAAAAGGGTACTTATAAATATTTGAAAAAGCTTTGAAGATAACCTTGGTGTTGGAAATTAATGCAGCTCACTATCCTTGAGGTGTATCCAACCGTGAAAAGCGAATGGAAAAAGAACCGTGGTTTGCGGAGAATCCAAAGAAGGTTGAAGAAAAATCATATACTATGCTGTGGAGGAGCACAGAACTATAGAACTCAAAAAGCACTGGGGCTACCATATCCGGAAATTGGGGGTCAAAGAAATTCAAGGTCCGCAACTGCACCGTAACTCAATTCGACTTCATTTGACGCCTAATTTTCGGCATTGGGTTCCTGCCTCTGCTGCTACTAGAAAAACTATTAGAAAAGCATTGCAATTCTACAGGCTGTTATCTGCCGTGCGATCTGACGGTTAGTGGTTGGGAAAAGTTCTACATGGGTCTTTCCTTTTTTTTTGAGCTCATTGATGTGGAAACTCCCATTGTTACATGAGAATATCAGTGGTAAGATTCCTCTTGCCTCTAGACTGCAAATGCTGTGGAGAGCCTCTGGCTTACATATGTAGATCCTCGCAGGTATTACATATTAAATTGTTACCAAAAACTCAAAACTGCCTTGCACACATCGTCAAAAAAGCCTTTCGTGTGGTTAACAATTTTGTACTTGTGATGTTTGAGCTAGAATTATTTGCACCTGGAAACAGGTGGTTAAAAAAGACAAGATCAAGCTCATTTCGGCAGTGAGTGCAAAACGGTGCCTCTCAGTCACAGAGTGAACGATACAGTAAGCATTTCTCACTAGTCTCTCTGTCGCTGTTATCTGGAAAGGCAGATAGTTTTGTGATGAATCGAATCGCTAAACGTCGGTGGAATATCTTCAATGCATTTGTTGCGAAACTCTGTCAGTACTAATCAATGCATTTTCTGATAACATTAGCCAAAAGATAAGTTGAAAACGAGATTATTCGTCTCGTTTCGGATGCGATCTGTGCAGAGACTTCACTAACAAAAAGTCGCACAATTGTTATGAAGTTTTGGTGGTTTGGTAATGATTGAGCATTACAGCAGTGTTAATTACACTGCTGTAATGCTGACTGAATTACACCGGTTAACCTACTTGTAAAGTCGCATGAAGAACGCGAGGAGCTCAGCGCGCTCGAGAACACTTAAAGAATGGTCTAGAATATGAGCCGCACTGTTTCACTTCGCCAAGTATAGCTAAGGATTTGACAAGTTGAGAACGTCAAATACCAACGGTTCTGGCATGCTTATTGCTAAAATTGCTGTGAATAAACGGTTACGAAACATAGTACTTCATCTTAGCTCAAGTCCATAATGCATTTGTTTCATAAAAGGAGTATGGTTCAAACTACCTAGAGTTTGCGGCGGCGACCCAGGAGCCTCGGCGCCTTTCCTTGCAGGGGTACTTGGAACCTCCAAGGGGCCTTCGCACCTTTTAGACGGCTCCGCCCACTTGCTCCGCTCTCTACTCAGACAATCACAGGCTCTCAGCCGGCGGCCACAAAGCCACCGCGAAAACCCACCAAAAGCGCGGTGGCCTCATCGCGCCCTCTTTCGCTTCCCGCTGAAGCCCTCATAGCAGTCCGCCCGCTGCCAGCTTTAACCTCCCGCTCATTGCCATATTTGTAGCCCGCTCGCTTCTACAGTTCTCAGCGGGAAGCGGCAGTGAGGCGATAAGGCCACGGCGCTTTTGGTGGGTTTTCGCGGTGGCTTTGTGGCTGCCGGCTGAAAATCTTGTCTGTGTAGCTTCTTGTTATACTTGGACTACAACGTTTTTAACTTCAATTAATTCATTATAACGATGACAAGTAACAATGAAGAACATAACCATCTGGAGATATGACCACATGGAGAAATAGATATGGCCCCAGATGGTTATGTTCTTCATTGTTACTTGCCATCGTTATAATGAATTAATTGAAGTTACAACGTTGTAGTCCAAGCATAACAAGAAGCTACACAGACAAGATTTTCAGCCGGCAGCCACAAAGCCACCGCGAAAACCCACCAAAAGCTCGTGCCTTATCGCCTCACTGCCGCTTCCCGCTTTCTTCAAAGATAGGATGTGTCGGTAGCCCAAAAGCTTAAAGGTTAGCTTAGATTAGCTTAGATTTACGTTCTTTAGAACAGAAAATATGCTGATAATAGACCTTGAGGGTACAAACATTGATAAAACAATCCATATGGGGAGCGGCGACAAAGCAATACACATTCCACCGCGATAAATATATTCACAAACATGAGTGAGGAACTGCCAGTGTTAGCGCGCAATGCAGGGGTTTCTCATGCGAATCAACAATCGATTCGCGCCTGAGTATCGTTCAGGCAACTGTCAGTTCTGATCCAAACCCATTTTCCTTATGTTGTGCAACACTTCCTCTGGAATTGTGTGCGTCTTCGTCGGTGACTGCAGCGTCTCGCGTTGATTCGTGACCATGTTCAGTTGCTCCTAAAGGATGAAATTAGAAGAGAACATTACGGAGATAAGGTCACGTTTCAGCATCTTAGCAGCTTGTTTGTACAAGAGATAGACTCTTGTTCAACAGTAAACAATGATCTCTACCCAGCTAAAAGGACTTGGCTCGTCACGACACCTTCAAAGCAATTACCGAATCATGAGCTCATCGCACCTGCCGAACGCAATCAATGCATATACTAAGCCTACGCTTTGTTGCATTTCACCAAGGAGGAAGTAACTTTATGAAAGATGCTTCATACATGACAAATGCTGAATGCGTCTAAGAGAAGCTGTAATTGACTACGATTACAAACATCATGAAATGCCTGCAAAAGAGAGAGTAGTTGGAAATATATACAGTCGAGTAGATTCAGCGGTAAATCTAGTGTGCTTGCACAGAAGGTGAAATGCGGTAAAATTGGCGCGTGAAGAAATAGTTTCGAATGTGACGCCGGCCAATTGCGCGCGCAAGATGCCCGCGGTACTGACGTGGCTACTTGTTCACGCGCAAATTTCACCGCATTTCACCTTCTGTGCATGCACACTATATTTACCGCTAAATCTACTCGACTGTATGCCCAAGGCCTGACGCACTGCACTGGTAGAGAGAAGAGAGAGAAGGACGGGAGGGGGGGGGGAGGATATTCACACGTATCCCACTCGATAGCTCCTCTTGGATACGACTTTTTTTGATGTGAAAGACTGGCAAGCTACAGTCGAGTAGATTTAGCGGTAAATATAGTGTGCTTGCACAGAAGGTGAAATGCGGTGAAATTTGCGCATTTGTGAACAAGTAGCCACGTCAGTACCGCGGGAATCTTGCGCGCGCAATTGGCCGGCATCACGGTCGAAACTATTTCTTCACGCGCCAATTTTACCGCATTTCACCTTCTGTGCAAGCACACTATATTTACCGCTAAATCTATTCGACTGTAGATACACATCAAAGACAGACATTAGACAGAGAGAAACGCAAGACAAATATGGTACAGCAATTAGTGGAAGTATGAAAAGCCCTAATTTCACTAGGAGGTAGGGAGACTTTATCAAGCCTTGACGATAAAAAGAGACAGAAACTAGTTCCACACCACAGCTGTAAATAACTATCGTCGATTCGTTGACTGCGCGGACTGGACATAACCGCGGAGCACGCGCCGCGAGGTAAAACGCTTGCTCCAATACAAGATCGCCATTGTTCGTGCTCTCGCAACATGTTAACCGCGCCGCATGTGGTCCGCAGCGCTTCAGCAGTCCGTACGGTCAACGATTCGACGATAGCTGCGTTGACGAACGACTGCGTGCCAAACAATTTTCTGTAAAACTGTAAACCTTTTATGTGCTCACTGTACAAGTACAGTCGATTCATTTCATATGATCATGTGTGCACCCGCACACACCGTACATCTTTGGCGTCCCCATCTCGGATTTGCGATCGCAAAAACGCGAGAGAGTGACCAATTGCTATCGCTTACATCATTTAGAGATAAATAGTACCTAAAAAGAAAAGAAAACAGCGAGAAAACATCAGAATCGCTTAACGGAAGGGTTGCGTCCTCCAAGAATCCAGGATGGGTACGCCAAAGATGGACGTGTGTGCAATGGCACACATGATCATATGAGATGAACCGACTGTACATCATTGAAAAGGTGCGCACTGTGTCTCGATGAATGCACTTGGCTTCTAAATGAGAATTTTACTTTTTGAAAAGGCCGATTGGTAGAGATGTAGGACTCAAAAGCTTGAATTGAAAAATGCCATATTTTGACTTCGAAATTGTGAAAAACAGAATTGGTAAACGACAGGAGAAAAGAAAAGAAGTAAATACTCTCAACATAAAAGGAATTATGAAACACGTGCGACTAAAACAACTTACGCTGTGTGTGGCACTCAGACTAAACCTCAGATCAATCCTTCCTCACTCAATGAACTTTGCGTACAACACGCTGGCGTGGAGTGAGCCGTGATGGTCGTTCGTTGCGTAAAAGGTCATGTTTTCGCGTGTAATCC